TCTTTTCTAGGCCAAGAGAAAGGTTTTAAGAGGTTGTGGCTATGGAGGTTGGAAGGCAGGACCTCTGGTGCTGGGCAAAGGAAGAGCCCTTTTGTCTGGAAAAGCCAGAAGGATCCTGAGATCCGTGACTGGAGAGGGGAAGCAGGATGGGGTTTCAGGGCCAGTATCTGGAAAACAACATCAGACACCAACAGAGGTTAGTATTTATAGAATGGAATTTTTTGAGGCTTTTGGGTTGAAACACCTGTAACTACGGAGAAGTCTTTAGGGAACAGGCCAGGCCAGCAGAAAAGAGCTGACAGCTACCCAACCTGCCGTGCCAATGCTGAGGTCTAACAAGCCACACCCATAACAGCTGAGTTTTTGTTATGGAAAATTTCAAGCTTACAGCAGTGTTGATATAATGAACTTTCTTTTTTTTATTATTTTTTTTAATTTTTATTTATTTATGATAGTCACAGAGAGAGAAAGAGAGAGAGGCAGAGACATAGGCAGAGGGAGAAGCAGGCTCCATGCACCGGGAACCCGATGTGGGATTCGATCCTGAGTCTCCAGGATCGCGCCCTGGGCCAAAGGCAGGCGCCAAACCGCTGCGCCACCCAAGGATCCCCCGATATAATAAACTTTCACGTATCTATCACAGAGATTCAAAAATTACAGACACAGTGGTTTTTTTTTTTTTTTTTAAAGCTGCAGGCTTGGGATCCCTGGGTGGCGCAGCGGTTTGGCGCCTGCCTTTGGCCCAGGGCGCGATCCTGGGGACCCGGGATCGAATCCCATGTCGGGCTCCCGGTGCATGGAGCCTGCTTCTCCCTCTGCCTGTGTCTCTGCCTCTCTGTCTCTCTCTGTGTGACTATCATGAATAAATAAAAAAAAAAATTTAAAGCTGCAGGCTTCACAAGCATTGGAGTGGTTTGGGCCAGCTGTTAAGACACAACAAAGTGGGAAACACCAGGGCACCTGGCACATTTCTTTCATTAAGCCTTTCTTCCCTTATGGAGACAAGTGGGTAGACTGGACTCCAGTGAATAAAAACATACCTGTTACTATGGATTACAATCATAAGGGTTAAAACACAGACCACAAATCATGTGTCCAGATAATTACTTAAAACTAGAAAAAGCAAAGGAAAATTCCAAAGAAGAGTTTCACTTAGGCTTAAAATTGAGTCCAAAAATTTGACTCAACGTTGTACTTAATATTTATACAGAACACCACGGACGGTTTTGGACAATTTATAAGGCTGAACTTCCTTGGTACATTCACTGTTAAGACTGCTCAACAGGCTCCAGGGCAGTTCTCTCTAACTGAACATTTTTTGTAGTATGTTGTATGCATATTTATACTAAGAGGAAAAAAAGAGATTATGAAAAGCTTTGGGGTGTTTGGCTCGAAGAGCATAGGACTCAATCTTGGGGTTGAGTTTGAGCCCATTAGGTGTAGATGACTTAAAAACAAGTAAAAAATTATGAAAAGCTCCGTGTCAGGTCTCGTATCAAATTTGAAAAAAAATCCACTTCTAATTTCTCAGGTCTTTGTGCACTCTGAATTAGAAAAATGATCATGGCCACTATCTCAGTTTGAGGAAAGGTGGGGGAGGTGGAAGAATGCAGCTGGAGGACAGATTTCATCCTGAGAAGCAAAGTGGTAGAACACTGGCTACTGATCATTACCCAATATGCCTTCTTCCAATACCTTAAATATTTTTTTTAAAGATTTTATTTGTTCATGAGACACAGAGAGGCAGACATGGGCAGAGGCAGAGGGAGATGCATGCAGGCTTCATGCAGGGAGCCTGATGTGGAACTCGACCCCGGTACTCCAGGATCATGCTCTGAGCCGAAGGCAGGCACGCCTAACTGCTGAGCTACCCAAGCGTCCCAATACCTTAAATATTCACAGCAACTTATTTTGAAAAGCCTTTTGAAAGTTTCATATAACCCCAAATCCAGGAGTGCATGGGACAAGGGTGTGGGTGCACTATCAGTAATTTGCCATGTCCTAAGATGCTCATCTTGAGGGCACTATTATTTCCATCTTACACTTGTTGAACCTGAGGCAGAGGAATTAGGCTGTGAAGCAGCCCACATGGGGTGGGAAGGGCAGGGCCTTGGATTTATTCTTGAAATGGACAGAGGTAAGGGGTCTAAAAGAGGTTTGCATCAATGTTTTTGGTCTAGGAAAGATACAGGGCTTGAAAATACAAGTATTTGCAGACCAAGGACCCGGTCTATTTTTTTAAAAAAATATTTTATTTATTTATTCATGAGATCACGAGACCGAGACCAAGAGAGGCAGAGATACAGGCAGAGGGAGAAGCAGGCTCCATGCAGGGAGCCTGATGTGGGACTTGATCCTGGGTCTGCAGAATCACGCTCCGGTTCAGAGGTGGCGCTAAACTGCTGAGCCACCCAGGCTGCCCCAAGGGTCTTCACAGGCCTTGGGACAGAGGTTCTCAAGGAACCTCTGCACAGGAGTTTCTGATCTCCGTGGGTTCTTGAGGAACATGCACACTAATGAAATTCTGGTCAAATGGAAGCAGAAAACTAATAAGCATTTTAAGGGAGTTTTAAAAGTCCTGTATCTGGGGCAGCCTGGGTGGCTCAGTGGTTTAGCGCCTGCCTTCAGTCCAGGGTGTGATCTGGAGACCTGGGATCGAGTCCCACGTCGGGCTCCCCATAGGGAGCCTGCTTCTCCCTCTGCCTGTGTCTCTCATGAATAAATAAATTTTAAAAATGTCCTATATCTGGAAATTTTATTGATCAGCAATCACACTGAGAAAACCGAGTCCTCTAAGCCCTTTTCCTTAGGGAATATAAACAGCAAGAGACTGAGCCTTCCTGGGCTGGATAACATGGGGCTTGAACACACAACCCTAAGAATCAAGGATCACATACTCTGCCAACTGAGCCAGCCAGGCGCCCCTACAAGAAACTTTTTTAAAGATTTTTTATTCATTTATTCATGAGAGACAGAGAGAGGCAGAAACACAGGCAGAGGGAGAAGCAGACTCCATGCAGGGAGCCCGATGTGGGACTCGATCCAGGGATCCCAGGATCACACTCTGAGCCAAAGTCAGATGCTCAACTGCTGAGCCACCCAGGTGTCCCTACAAGGAACTTTATACATCAGGAGAGCAGAACAGGTGTAGGAGGCTGTAGCCTTTGTTGATGTCACTTAGGAATCACTTTGTTGCAGGAATTTCAGGTGATTATGCAATCTTGCCTAAAGCCAGGATGACATTTCACTTCCTGACAGGCAGGGAACAGATGCCCCCTCACTGTGGCCTACCTGCAAGGCAGGAATGGCGCTCTTCCTGCTAGCTCCCACTGCCTTGGGTCCCCAAAGGCTCAGAATGCTTTCTCACACCAAGTACCCAACATCAACCAGTGGTGGCAGCCACAAGGCCCATTTTCCTGGTTCAGTAAGCCAATCAAGAGGTGTGAGAAGTTCTCTAGCCTCCGTCCACTTGCCAAAGCAGATTCATGACTGGTTGGGTAGAAGGGTCTATGGGGCCTTTCCAACTAACTGGAGCCAGGGAGGCAGACTTCCCATACTGGGACTCTTCCAACAGACCTATAATCTCAGTTCAGGGAACTAAAAATACCAGAGTGGGCAAGCTTATCAACTTCTCAGTTCTGGAGCCTGGAAGTCTATCAAGGTGCCCCCTTTTCCAAACTACCAATTTCTTGTATCCTCATGTGGCTGAGAACAGAGGAAAGCCTTCTTGGGACTTGTGAGGGCACTACCCACTCTTCATGACCTTATCTAATGATAATCACCCCCCAAGACCATCATATTGGGGAAAGGAGGGTTTCCATAGGACTTTTGAGGGAACACTGAATTCATTCACTCCATGAATGAGGAAATGAGGCGTTAACGATGTACTGGAACTGGTGATCAGGTGGTACCAACTTTGCATCGACTAGGTGGAAGCCATGGACACAACTGATTTAGAAATTCCAAAAGGAGGGATAAAAGCCAACAGGACTCCCAATGTAGCCACTCGAACCAGGACTGAAGGGACTGGCAGTAGGACTGAGGAACTAAGATTAGCTCTAAGTGCAAAACCATTGCCACCACCTCACCACCAGACTCACACCACCGAAGACTAAATCCCTGTGACAAGGAGCTTTGCTAACCATTCTCAAGGACTGTACATGCCTATTAAATGTACTTAACCCTCATGAAGAAATGTGACATGCTCATGAGGTTGAGGCCCACAGGTTAAATGTCCTACCCAAGGTTAAATAGCTGGAAGGCAGCAGATACTGCATTTGTGTCCTGGAATCCGAGTCCAGTCTGAGCTCTTAGAAACTGGTTTTCAAATCAGGATTTTTCCACGTTCCTCAGACAAGGTTGAGTTTAATAGATTTCTTCCACCTCCCAACATTTCAAAGAAACTGGAAATGCTTTTTATAACATGGTTTAACTCCCACCAGGAGCTTACATTCTCAGAACAATCCTGTGAGGACACCCACTGATGCTCAGAGAAGCTAAGGAGACTCAAACCCTAGCAGTCTGATTCCCAAGCTGACCAAAAAAAAAGACAAAAAAAAAAAAAAAAAAAAAAGGACCAAGAGACCATCTCAGAAAACCTAATTCCAACAAGAATATTTCCTCTGTAACTCCCACAACCCCCACACTTGATGTACTCAAACTCAACTTTAGGAGTTCCAAAAAAAAATAAACTGGAGAGTTCTACTCTTTTGCCTACCCACTCCCCTCCAACTAAATTCTTTCCTAAAATCCTCCCTTCCCGATCTTCCATTTTTAGTTTGAAAACTGGGTTCAAGGGATCTCTGGGTGGCTCAGTGGTCTAGCACCTGCCTTTGGCCCAGGGCGTGATCCTGGGGTCCTGGGATCGAGTTCCACAATTGGGCTCCCTGCATGGAACCTACTTCTCCCTCTGCCTGTGTCTTTGCTTTGCTTCTGTCTCATGAATAAATGAATCAATTCTTTAAAAAGAAAAACTGGGTTAACGAGGAAAACAACACGTATCAGTTTTTCATGTTTCAACTTTTTAATCAGCTCCGTGAAGAACATCCTAAAATGCTAAATGAGACAACAGAATATTTTTTCTTCCAGTACTAAAAAATACATTCACAAATATTTTTAATAAACTGCTGTATACTCAGGGTGGTAACCTTGAATAATTAAAAAAAACCCCACCTCTAATCATATCAATGATTTCTTGTATTTGCATTTGGAAATTGCTTCCTAATCTTGATAAACATTGCAGATAGGCTTTTAAATGTCCCTAAATGCACATTGTTTTTAAAGCAGTCTAAACAAACTTTTTTTTTGCCACAATCAGTAATCCTGAGAGCCCAAACTGAAAAACTGGAAAATACCCAGCATCTGCAATGTCCCAGGATTAGTATTTAAATGGGAGAAAATTTTAGAAATCACATGGAGCTTTCTCTAAAAGGTCTCTGTAACAAACTACCTCTGGAGCTCAGTTAAAAAATAGAACTTGATGTACTAGAACAGATGTGTCAGTGCAGCTCCAAAAATCTTTATAAATACAGCCATTTGGAAGGATGATCCTGGATCAGAAGTTTTATTCCTTGTGTATCTGAGAACAGCAAGAAGGGGGAGAATTATAATGTTGGGAAGGCACAGGCACACATGCTCACCTCCCTGGGTTGATAAAGATTGCTGAAGGCTGGATGACAGCAATGCCGCTTCATCTCCTCCATGCCCAGCAAGAGATTACAAGGGAGACAGACTTTTAGATACCGCCCCCTACCCCACAGCAGACTAGTCCTGACAGGCACCTGAGAACGAAGGTGTCATGTGGACCTGGTGAATTAAGTGTAGGCAGGAAGAAAAGTTGAGTGAAACATGACAGGGCTGGTGGACAGAGGTCCACTCAGTGGCAACATATAAACCTCACCTACTTTAGGTGCACATGCCTCATCTCAGTTGTCATAATTGTCTCTGTAATTTCCTCCTGAGTAGCGGTCATAACCACCCTGGCTTCTGAGAAAAAACATACATGGCAGTTAATGAGAATGTGTCATATGCATACCTTGGTATTAAAAACCACACATATTTACACATCCTGTTTTACATATACCATCATATGCAATTTAGAATGCAAATCAAACATATACTGTACAGAAATCATATTATGTGGCATGTAACTTGCACACAGCATAGTAAACATTAACAATATAAACTTACAACCAATGTGACATGATAAACGTGTTAACACCATCTATCATATTACATCATAATTAGTGCATCATGTAGAACTCAAAAACATGTTAAGTGCCATACTTACAGTTTCACTATAATTTGTAAAAGCAAACACTAGTAACACCAAAATAAGGTTATGTATGAACCCTCAGGCAGCTGAGCTCTTAAGATGTAGGCAACCCCACCAGAGTACTCCAATCCCTTGGCTACCCACCTGCCACCATAGTCTCTGGACCTTCCATATCCATATCCATATCCATAACCCCCAGGTCGACTGTCATATCTGCCACTCCCATAGCCCTGGTCCCCACCACCTACAGCAGATCAAGAAAAAATCAGGTAGCCATCCAGACGTAGGTCACTTATTAATAAGCAGCTCTCCCCCATATTCAAACTTACCACTGTACTTACCTCTAGAGTAGCTGCGACCACGCCCATGGGCCCCAAAGGCACCCCCTCTAGTTCCCCTGGCCGACTTGCCCGCGTGATCCACACGGATCTGGCGACCATCCAGAGACTAGGTGTGGGGAGACATAAGGAGGATGGGTTGGTGGTCAAATAGGGTAGTGGTGAGGGAAGAATGGGTAGGGCAGGTGGGCAAGTGCCCAGAAACTCTTGGTGGGCACCAGGTTCTGGGTGCCATGTTCCAGAACAAGCTCCTTTAACCAGAATGGCTTTTATCGGGAGCCGTAGAATCCCACAAAATGACCTGAATCCACCGTGTTCCCCCTGCTACTACTTACATCTTGACTGAACTCAGGCTGAGTTCTCCTCCCCACTCCTATAAGCTGCCCCACTATTAGGGGCTAGATAGACACCTCTCTTGGTTTGAGACTTCAGAGTCCATCCCAGAAGACTCACGAGGTCCTCTCCGGGCCAGGCCCGCAGGTCTGCAGACTCTACTACCTAAGCCCAGGGCAGGTCAACCATCCACAGGTGGCTTCTCGGCCTCATGCAGGACCAGTCGTCGCCTCCCAGGCAGCCCGGCTCTGTCTGCCGCTGCCCTCCACCCCCTAGAACAGAAGGCAGTCACGCTCCTGTGAGTGGGCACTGCGGGGTTTGTTGGCCGCGCTGCCCCTAGCAGACACAGAGGGAAAAACAGAAAGAATGCTGGAAGTGGCAGATGGGGGCAGGGCCCCTATGCAGGTAGGAGACCTCACCTCTCCATTCATGGCTCTCATGGCATCTGAGGCATGCTCTGGATTGGTGAAGGTGATGAAACCAAAACCCCGGGATCGCTGAGTCTCCCGGTCCTTGACAACAACCACTGGGGGAAAAAAGAAAATGCATGTAAGAACAAACATAAGCAACAAAAGGTGTCAGGCAGAGGATGGACCCCTCCTACCAATCATCAATTGGAAGTTATGGGGTTCTCATAAGACTATGCCTTAGGCCTAAAAAAGAGAAAGAAGTATGTGTAAACCTAGGTTCCTAATTTCTCTCCTTATGTTGTTTTTTTAAAAATACAGATTAAAAAAACTTTTGACAAAGAAAATACAAGCAAGGGGAGAACGCTCCCTGCAGGGGACCTGCCAGGACCCTGGGATAAAGTCCTGAGCTGAAGGCAGAAGCTTATTAGCCAAGTAAGCCTACCAGGTGTCCCTCTCCTTATCTTTCTTGAAACGCAAGGGCCCCGGACTTTCACAAACACTTCGCTCATCATTCATCTGGCCCATGTCTCACCCTCAGAGATAGGACCGAAGCTGCTGAAGTGGTCTTCCAGAGCCTGCTCATCGGTGTTGAAGTTCAGCCCTCCCACGAAAAGCTTCCCTTCTTCAGAAGACATGGCAGTGAACTCGAGTACTAGGGAGAGAATATAAAAAAGGGTGGGAGAAACCATGGAGATGTGAAAGGAAAAAAGATTAAAAAAGGACGAAAAAAGAAAAAAGAGAAACCACAGAAAACAAAAAGGCGACTAAAGACAGATCAGAAACAAAAGCCGAAAAGGTTGGATTCGGCGGTGCTCCATCAGGGAGACAGCCACTTGGGGGCGGCCTTCACGCATGCCCGTATCGTTCTCCGCCAACTACCACGCCCGTCATTTTGTGGCGCTGAACAGGTCCAGAACACGCTCCCGTTCTCTCCGCGCCCGCAGAACAAGATGGCGGCGGTCACGTGGGGGCGCGGGGGTGGGGGAAGGGCGCCCGCACAACTCGGCTGTCGCGCTGTCACTGCCGCCACCGACGTCGCCAGTCCCTCCCAGCATTCCTCGCACTTTGATAGAACGCGCCAGCTTCCCACCAACCGAAAAGTTTCACCTCTGAGCACGGGGCCCGCCCACTTGAGAAAAGCCCAAGCGTACGTGTCAGGAGCCGCTGCTCTCCCCACTCGCGCACCTAGCTCCAGACTGGCGCGGCGCACATCAGTGAAGCGAGGAGCAGCCGGCCCACAAAACCTGTGCTGCTTACCTGCAAATCAAGCAAAAAGCTCAATGCAACAGCAACCGCCGAGAAGCAGAGAGACTGGGAAGATTGCAGCGCGGGAAGTCGCTTGATAAAGCTTACGCAGCGTGTACGTCACGGAGCGTCCCTCGCACGTGCCAGCGTTCATGTTCATTGGCTGAAGCCCGCAAGGGCGTGGGAGGAAGGGACGGTACTGCAAACGGACCTATAAGCTCAGCACGCTTCGGGAAATGGAGGCGAGCTTAGTGCGATTAGCGCACCCTGGCGTCCGTATCCGTTCACTGGCCCTACGGTCTTTATTTTTTTTTTTAAGATTTTATTTATTTATTCATGAGAGACACACAGAGAGAGAGAGGCAGAGACAGGCAGAGGGAGAAGCAGGCTCCATGCAGGGAGCCCGATGTGGGACTCGATCCCGGGTCTCCAGGATCACGCCCTGGGCTGAAGCTGGTGCTAAACCGCTGAGCCACCCGGGCTGCCCTGTTAATCTTAAATCTGATGGTAATATTGTTAATATTATTCTGAGACTACTGTCTATAGAGGTTTGAATCAATTGAGGTAATCACGTTGGTATCATTGATAATCAAGACTTCATGGTTGGAAATGGTTTAGAAATACAGATGAGGATATATTATTATTGTGGAATACTTTTTTAAAAAATTTTATTTATTTATGATAGGCACACAGTGAGAGAGAGAGGCAGAGACACAGGCAGAGGGAGAAGCAGGCTCCATGCACCGGGAGCCTGACGTGGGATTCGATCCCTGGTCTCCAGGATCGCGCCCTGGGCCAAAGGCAGGGGCCAAACCGCTGCGCCACCCAGGGATCCCTGGAATACTTTTAAATTCAGTTTTGCTTTATGATTATATAAAATACTTGGTTCCAAAGTCGAGTCTAGAAAACAAGGTGTATTTGAAGCAGTTCAGCTTCTTTCCCTTCTTTTTTTTTTCTTTCCCTTCATTTCATTCTTTTCCTTCCTTCTGTAGGTAACCATTCATTAAAATTGAAATGTATATTCTTCCATTGTTTACATGAGTGTATATAAACATATATTTCTTTCCTTAGAAAAATGGTAGCCTACTATGTACAGTTTTTTTTAAGATTTTATGTATTTATTTTTAAGGATTTATTTATTTATTCATGAGAGACACAGGCAGAGGGAGAAGCAGGCTCCATGCAGGGAGCTCAACGTGGGACTCGATCCTGCGTCTCCAGGATCATGCCCTGGGCTGAAGGCAGTGCCAAACCGCTGAGCCACCCGGGCTGCCCGGCCCTACGGTCTTCATCACTTATACACATGAAACTTCGTTCTCACACCCCTTTCTGTCCCTGACATCACCCTCGCCGTCCTTGACGTCTATCCCCCATTGGTTTTGACGTCTTCTTCACCATCTCAGTCGTCTTCCATGGGTCTCAGACGTAATTACTGTAACCTCCTTCACCTCCCAGTCCTCTCATATCCCTCAAGGGCCCGATGTTTTATTCCCCACTTTCCCTGTTGTCCTAACCTTTCACAGTCCATAATGTCAGATTCTGCGTTTTCTCCGTGTCTGATGCTGATCCCTACGTTTTTTTTTTTTTTTTTTTTTTCCTGCTCAACACCTAGCCGCCTGTCATGGGATCCTTTTTTCCTGGTGTCATTCCTCTCATTTCTGACTTCAACCCGCCTCCTTATCTACAGCCTCCTAAAGTGTCTCTTGATTTTCCTGCCAGTAGACTGCCTGAGGTGCTTTCTACAAAAACAGGATACTCCAATTTTAGACGGAGTAAATCCCTATCCATAGAACAATTTTTGTTGTCACTCACAGTTCCTGAGCCTTTGATCCACAGAAAGTACTTTCACAGCACACAATGTGGACTTATCCAGAGCAAGGAGTGGTTGAACTCACTGCCCACGATTTGGTCTTGTCCAGCTTTCAGGGTGTCTATGTTTCCAGTCAAGGAAGACTGGGTTAGTCTGATCTCAAAAACTCTACATTTCTTATCCATAGAATGGACCTGTCTAGCCTTCTTCTGAGGGTCAGCCCTCCAAATAGATACTAGGTTTGTTAATTTTCAGAGTACAGAATGATATGCATCCACAAAATGGACTTGTCTGGCTTTTGCCATATCCAGACCTCCTATGCCCAGGATGGACATGAATAGATTTCACATTGTGCATATACATAATGGTCTTAGGTAGCCCTCAAATAATCAGCCCCCATGCAAAAAAGTACCCGTTTGCCTTTCAATGTGTCTGAGCTCTGATCGTATTCTACAGTTCATGACACATCTTCATTGTTCCACGAAAAGCTCCTCATTTTATTCTCTTTTAATCCTGCACCCAACTATTGTTCTCTTCCTCCCACAGTTAACCACTGTTTTTGGATTTAAAGTGTATCTTTTCAATCTTTTTTTTTCTGATAAATGTATTTAAGGCTACAGGTTTCTTGTATTAACTGATTTGGCTGTGTCCTACAAATGTTGCATGTAGTGTTTTTATATTTAGTTGTAAATATTTTTTTAGCATTTTATTTTTTAAAGATTTTTATCGGGGCAGCCCAGGTAGCTCAGCGGTTTAGTGCCGCCTTTGGCCCAGGGTGTGATCCTGGAGACCCGGGATCCAGTCCCATGTCTGTCTTCCTGCGTGGAGCCTACTTCTCCCTCTGCCTGTCTCTCTCTCTCTCTCTCTCTCTCTGTCTCTCATAAGTGAATAAATAAAATCTTAAAAAGAAGATATTTATTTATTTATTTGAGGGAGAAAGTGTGGGGAGGGGAGAGGCAGAGGAAAAGGGAGAGAGAGAATTCCAAGGAGAGTCCCCACGGAGCATGGAGCCTAATGCGGGACTAGATCCTGGACCTTGAGATCATGACCAGAGTCGAAATCTGTTCAGATGCTTAACTGACTGGGCCACCCAGGCGACTCTCTCTCTTTCATATATATATATATATATATATATATATATATATATATATATATATAAAGATTTTATTTTTTTTCTTTTTTTTAATTTTTTTTTAAATTTTTATTTATTTATGATAGTCGCACAGAGAGAGAGAGGCAGAGACACAGGCAGAGGGAGAAGCAGGCTCCATGCACCGGGAGCCTGACGTGGGATTCGATCCCGGGTCTCCAGGATCGCGCCCTGGGCCAAAGGCAGGCGCCAAACCGCTGCGCCACCCAGGGATCCCAGATTTTATTTATTTATTCATGATAGAGAGGTAGAGACACAGGCAGAAGCAGGCCCCATGCTGGGAGCCCAATGCGGGACTGGATCCTGGCACTCCAGGATCAGGCCCTGGGCCTAAGGCAGGCACTAAACCTCTGAGCCACCCAGGGATCCCCTATATATTTTTAAGTAAGCTCTATGCCCAACGTGGGGCTTGAACTCTTGACTGCAAAATCAAGACTCACATGCTCTACCAAATGAACCAGCCAGGTGCTCCTAGTTATAAATATTTCTAAAGTTCCTTTATGATTTCTTCTTTCATCTAAGGGTTATTTAGTAATGTTAGTTTCCTTTTTTTTTACAAGATTTTATTTATTTATTCATGGGAGACACAGAGAGAGAGGCAGAGACATAGGCAGAGAGAGAAGCAGGCTCCATGCAGGGAGGGAGCCTGATGTGGAACTTGATCTTGGGACTCCAGGATCACGCTCTGAGCTGAAGGCAGACACTTAACTGCTGAGCCACCCAGGTGTCCCTAGTAATATTAGTTTCCAAAAATGGGGTGTTTTTTAGCTTTTTTGCTGTTGCTAAATTTATTGTATTATGGTCAGAGATAATGCTTAATAGTGAAACTTTTGAATTCATCGAGGCTTTGTACCCTAATGTGGTCTATTTTTGTAATTGTTAAATGTAAGCAAAAAAGGAGCCTTCTTCATTTTATATGTATATATGTGTATAAACACACACACACATATCAAGCTTAAAAATGTATTGTTCAGGGGTGCCTGGGTGGCTGTTGGTTAAGTGTCTGCCTTGGGCTCAAGTCATGATCCCAGGGTCCTGGGATTGAGCCCATGTCAGGCTCAGTGCTCAGCAGGGAGTCTGCTTCTCCCTCTCCCTCTCTACCCCACCCCCTTGTGGCACGCTGATAAAATCTTTAAAAAAATGTATTGTTCAGCACTCCTTTGGTGTATATGTGTTTATGGTAGATATAACTTGTCTTTTGTGATCTTAAATTTTATTAACAACTATTGGGATGGCTATCCCAGCTTTCTTTGGACTTTGATTAGTGTGCTATATATCCTCTCTTCATCCTTCATTTCCAGTATTTCTCAATGTGTGTGTGTGTATTGTCGGACCTTTTTTTTTTTTTAATCCAATGAAGGTCTGTGTTTTAGATATTTTTGTGATTGCTATTATAGTAAAATCTCTGACATCCCATTTCCTGTTCTCTATTTATAGTACTTTTTTATTCCTTTTTTTTCTATCATCCTCACACCTACTATTTTCTTTGGGTTCTTTTACATCACTTGTTCTGGTTTTATATTCTACTTTTATCTCTTATTTATTGCAGTTACTTAAAATTCTTCATGCCTGTCCCAATACTTCTTTTTTTTTAAGATTTATTCATGAGAGACACAGAGAGAGAGAGAGGCAGACACAGGCAGAGGGAGAAGCAGGCTCCATGCAGGGAACCTGATGTGGGACTCAATCCTGGGACTCCAGGATCACGCCCTGGGTTGAAGGCAGGTGCTAAACCGCTGAGCCACCTGGGGATCCCGTCTCAATACTTCTGCTTTGGATTTTTATGTCATGCAATATGGTAGCCGGCCTTCAATATAGCCCTTAATAATCCCTGCCTGCTGGTATTTACATCCTGTGTAGTTCCCTCCTATGCTGCACTAGGGTTGGTCTGTGTGACCAAGAAAATATAGCAGAAGTGATAATATGTCATTTCTGAGGTTAAGTGATAATAGATACTCCAGTTCTGTCTTGCTCATGGTTTCTTGCCTGCTTGTTGGGACCACGTGTTCCAAGGAGCTCTGTGGAGAGGCTCGGATGGTGAAAAACTGAAGGCTCCTCCCAACGGCCTCATGAGTGGGCCGTGTTGGAAGTGGGTCATTCATCTAAGTCATAGCTTCGGTCCTGACAACTTGACTGAAACCTCAGATGAGACCGAGTC